AACAATAGTGAGTGAGTAAAAAAGATATTGATATTTAATTCTTGATATCAAAACCAAATATTATATGAAACAATTAAAAGCTGGAAAACATAGCAAAATTAGTTGAAACGCATATGAGTGAGTTACAATTTTTAACTTACTTACATTGAAAATTCTGTATAATTTAATAGCCAAAAGTATAAGATCCTTAAATATTCTAAAAAAAATTTGTTTTTACCTCTACTTGAATAAATGAAGTTTACTATCGGAAAATTTCATTTTTCGGACACTTATACCTTCCTTCCTAACAATATCTTTACTTTGCAAAGTTTCTACCTCCCAAGTTCCCAAACAATTAGATTCTTATTAGCCGAGCCCCGCAAAGTCAACGGGGGACAGGGAGGTGTAAAAAAAAAAGGGAGCGTTGTTTAATACACATTAGGGGTTGAGAAGCCCTAGCAGTTGTCAAGTGGCCACCAGTCACGAACTGTTTTATTGTGACACCTTCGGAGGGTGCTACAGATTTTCCAGCGGGACGAATCCGGAGGGTGTCATCGTGCGATCCCGATTAAATGATTAAATCTGCAATCGTGATCATTCGAGCGCTATTACCGTCCTATCTGCGTGGGAGCTAACTATAATTTCGCTTAGACTCACTGTCAATATGATCATAGAAAACAGTTGTTTGCAACGAAACAGCTATATAATAAATTATTGAATAGAGATAGTCATTGTTAAATGGTGGATGAACATGCGAATTCTGATGCATTTAAAGGAAATTTAAAGATGCAAAAATGCGTAGTAGGCATATAAAAAGTACAATATTCGTTATAATAAAGTAAATATACGAAGTGCATGAATATCCGCAGTATAGCCATTACGTTATTGTGTCAAGAATGTCGGATAATTGTATAATTTGATAGAATTGATTCATTAGACGAATGTTTATTAAATGAACTGAAGCACGAAGTGACGAAAGAATAATATATCATTATTTTACGTATCCTAATGCTATTGAAAAAGAACGATAGTATTTTTAAGCTTTACAGCGTGTTTGAGTGATTCGAGGAGAAAATGAAGTTCAGTATGCGTTTGATAACGTTGGCGATTAGATAAGGCACGAGTCGATGTTATTTATCGTTTAATTGTATGAGAAGCATGAGACATCTTCGAAACAGATGTTAATGGGATGAAACAGGAAGAAGGTGGAGAGAGATTTAGTCACAAGTCTCTATACACATGACGCACCGATAACGAAAGAACGATTTCATACAAAACTCTTCTTTCTTCATTGTTGTTGAATTAGACGACAGAACAAAGAACTCATTGCAGCTTGCTTCTGCAATTTTTGAATTTTCATATACGCAAAATGTAAAAAGGAGAGGAAATGAAATGTTAGTCATGATTTAAACATATCTGAACTTTGCTAAATACGAAAACAATGTTATGAGAGTGATTTAAAAGCGTATATCTTTTAACGCCACTATTAGAATCCCGCTTTTTAACTGTATCGACACCTTAATCTGAAAATAAAAGGCGTATAAGCGACACGTGCGTCACCCTTGAATGCAGTCGCGTGCCTTATTCGTAAAGTTCGAGGGGTAAATTTTTTTTCATTCTTCGTTAATCCATTATTGCGGCCGCGTATGGTCTGTGATACTGGTCCAACAGAGAAGTGTGGAGAAATATGAATAAATAACGTCGATACGTATCTTTATACACGATGAATTCGTTTCTAGGAAAGTTTGTTGCGCATAACATTTTGTATAGGAACCCGTATACAACGAAGATGAAAAATGAGAAAATATAAATTATATTCGAGTTTCGCGTAATTTATGGCTATATAAGGCTCATACGTCTATCGATAAATTCCCATCAAACTTATAAAAGCACCCTAAAAAAAGCAGCAACTATGGTACAGTTAGAAAATGTCGTATGGGGTGAGTTTTGTAGCGGTTTCCCACAGGTTTAGCGACAATACAGCTCAATTTGTGCGTGCCAACGAATACGAATTAGGTATTAGAATTATTTCCCGTGAAATATACTCTCTGTGGCCATGGAACATCGATAAAATCACAACCACGTATACATGCATCAAAAATTTTCTAAAAGAAAATCATAAACTAATATTTTCCAGTTGGACCTATGAACCTTTTCGATGTTACGAAATGTGTTCTTAAAAATTACTATGTAACTTATTAGTTTCGTAAAGATTATTAATCCTTTAACAATGGTTAACAAATTAATATCACCGTGCGACTGTCTTTCCTTCCATTATAGAAGGATGCAAAATGTAAGAATACACAGATTTGTAAATATGAAAATGCTATTGACGATCATGTTCCGAATTAGATACGAATTATTAACAGAGACCGATATCTGAAATCGGTGAACTAGCATGGAAAAGCTATCCAGGAATGGTATATGGTCGAGTATGTAGAAGAATTATCATTGGCAGGCTGTGCCAATAGAAAAGAGGCGTGTCGCCGGGTTTGCGCAGTGTCCCATGAAACGTCAACGCGTTCAAATAGGATACCCATACCAAACTGAGCCGCAGGAGCACAACGTCAGGGGTGGAAAGAGGACACGAAGGGCACGGGGATGAAATCAATTTTCGTTATCGCCGTCAACCAGTCGCCCCATATTAATTCCATTATTAGTGTTTGTTTTCCACGTGTGTATTCTACCAGACGATAATTGTACATTCGTTCTGAAATTATCCAAATTCTTGTACGATACAAGAACGCGAAAAATTAGTCATTCATCGCACTTTCCTACTAAAACAGGGATACGGAGTAAATAAATTTTCAATTTGATTAACTGCACATTTATATATAGCGCTTTCTACGCATAGCAATTTATAGCATAGCGATATTACTACATTTTAAAAAAGTGATTTGGTTTTGATTGTAATTTTGAGGTAGTTTTTATTGACTTGTTCGAGTTATTGGAAGTGCATTCTTATTGAAGCAGCTCTTTCATTTCACTTTATAAAACACGCATGATCCGAATGAATTAACAGATTTATAATAAAATAATTAGAATATAAAAGCAATGGAAAGCGTTCAAGTTATACTTGATATCAGGAAATGTCCGAATATTTACTTATAGTTGGTAGTATACATAACAATTAACACATCATAATTAATACATGTCGTATACCGTAACTCCTTTTAATCCATTAAATGACAACGTAAATTTATTGAAGTATACTACAAACAGTAGCAAAGTGTCATCAAATGCGATTTAGATAATTCTATCGTCCAGTCGATTTTTCATTATAACATACGGGTATATAACAAGAAACTACTTATATAGCTTTTCATAATTTGCTTAAACTTTCTGTAATTATATCTTCTAAAAATACGAAAGCCTGTTTTTTCGTTGAAGTCTCGAGTCTCTGTTGTTACAAGAAAAGACAGATAAGATATCCTTTGGTAATATTCCGAGATGAGTATCGAGCAAGGACGTCCGCAATACAAGAACGACGTGTGGTGGGCGAATTCTCTTCAAAAAGTCATTGAAGCCACGGAGGCTGCGCGAAGCACGAGTGTTCGGTGCTGATAAGGGATGCTCCGCCCTCGAAACCCCTAGAATCGTCCTCTCGCTACCCCTCAGCCATGGAATGGCAGGGTCAAGTTGTCGGGAGTCTCTTGCATCGACATGAAGTATTAATCTGACGGATTAGGAGGAGAGATAGGACGGAGATTAATTTTTAAGATGTTGAAAGACGTAAAGGATTACCCTGGGACGTTTAATTAGGACTGGTTCGGTCACGCTACCGTCTTTTATACGAAGAAAGCAAGTTTGTTACCAAGCTTTTTACTACTTTTAATTGAGCGTGTTTTTTTAAGCGAAAATGAATAAAAGAGTTATAGCGATCGATACTATTACTTTTACTGGATTTATACTGTTATATATACTGGATACTATTACTGGATTTTTTTATTGAAAATATAAATAATCTGTACAATCTGGTCGAAATTAATATCATTAAAAGTAGGAAGGTGGTAATAACGTTGGTTGATAAACGGATATTCGTCCGATGCAATGGAATAACGGTAATAAGTTAAAACGTATTACATTATAATATATAAAGTCAGTGAAGCAGTGACAAACAGTTTAGGATGATTTATCCACGGTAATACCCAATTTATATGATTAACTTTACTCGACGCTCGAAGCTTGTGTATCATGATAACGTAATATACAATGATAATTGTTCAGAAAAAAGTTCCAATACTTAAGAAAACAAGTTATTTGAAAATGAACGATATCAATCGGAATTACGTTGCCAATTGAAGATAAAATATAATACAACAAAGTGGTTTTGTCAACTGATAAAAAAAAAGAAAAATAGAATATCTCACTATTCGTTGACGTAATAAATATACGATTCTAATCTATACGTATATCACATAATATATATAATCTATATAATATATATAAAAAATATAGTCCGCATTAGAAATATATACATACAGTTTCTTCGGAAAGTAAATTAAAGATTTTACATTTAAACTTTTAGCAGGAGCGTAAACTTACTTCCCGGGGCGACTGTATGTACATATATGTGTATGTGTGATTGTAGAATTATAACCATCTAAAAACGTCAAAGGATGTTAAAAAGCATCTATGTTAATTGCAATTAATAATTCGTTAACCACCTTCGTATCACTATCATTCGTATCACATGTATCTTTAACGTAAACGCATAGCTTTAATACATTAAATTATAATTAGGCTGCAATATATTACAATACTATATTTTGAGTATTTTATATATCTCTGCATAGTATGCGTACATTCTGTGCATTTTTACACCTTCAAATTTCCTATAAATACATAAAAATCTGCAGTCTAATTATGATGATTCTGAATTTTGGATTATTTATATCGCGATTTAAAAAATGTTCCATTTAGAGTTACTAACGTATAAATACATTAACTATCACAAATATAACGTCACATTCATAACCACCAGTTAAATGATAGGGTGAAAAGAGAAGAATACTGTCGCGTTATTGCCATTGTAACAAGGGTCTGTCCTCATACTTCGGTTCGCTTTTAAACTTACAATATATTTACAAGCAAGCATTTTCAGCGGCTGTTCTCGTCGCAAGATCACAATACTGTCTTTTCCTCATACCGATTCATCGTGCTGTCAGTGAAACGCAAATATAAGGATGAGCAAAGGCACCGCTATGATGCATAACAAATAAATAGACGTTCTAGGTTCGCACGTGGAGACAACCACGTATTCTTCGTTCCATTGTGAGTCATTGCCACTCAATGGCAACTCTAAGACCGTCCTCTCGTTACTGAAGATTTTGAAAGGCAATGAACACTCTGTCGTGCTATTCTTACAGGCGTGTACTGGATTCGAGATATTGTAGAGGGTCTTCAGCAGGTCGAAACGTACTCGTAAATAATTCGGCTGAATCTCGTTTTCAGAATTGAAGACGAAGAAATAATATCCGTTCGTAGGTACTCTGAAAAGTAGATTAAACGTTGATAATGATAAAATTTTAACAGACAAGTAAAGATAGAATCATCCGAAATATCCGATTAATTCCACAGACACTTGATAATTTCATACACATTTAACAATAGCAATCGCATTCTCGCGATAAAATAATCCAGACATTGTAATCCATTTGAGTCAAATAATTCCTCAGCAACGAATGTAAATTTGTCGTCACGTATGTTCATAAACATTTTTTGTTCAAAATACAGTTAAAGTATAATACTGAAACGAAAAAGATTCCCTCAAGATTGTTAAATAATTTATTGATATGCCATAAACCATACGATATCGCACATTCTAATCGTATATTTGGTATTCTTACAGGAATACTTTGCATTTAGGAGCACTTAAATTTTCTTAAGTCTTAGAATTATGCATTCTTGAACCTATGTGCCCCTTCGTATCACGTAGCAGCACTCTTAAATTCCCTTAAGGTTTTCAAATTACTTAAACTTAGAATTTTTGCATTTCCTCAAATCTTTAAGTTTCCTAGTTTCGTTTAATCATCCAATAATATCTTTATATCCTTCTTCAACGTTCCATCTACGTACTTAAAGCTCTTTTCTCTTAGGTCTTAAATCATTAAACGGAATCTAAAATCTTGGAATCTGGATTCTTAGAACTCTTTAAACAGTTTTACTACTTATTATCAAAGAGCTTCTATACTATCTAATGTCTGTAGAGTTATGGAATATGAAATGAACATTTTTCTCTTTTCTATCTTCTTACTCGTGTGTTACTCATTATCGAAACGTAAAAAACTTAATAGAAATTATACTTCTATCAATATTTCTGAATTATTGATAACACGGGACGTAAACTGGCTAAAATGATCGGAATTCGTAATTTTTATATAAAAATAACCAATTGTTTTAGTCTTCGAAGAGGCCTCTCTGTTGCTAAAAGAAATCGTCACGTTATCTAAATGTCTGTTTGCCTTTGAAATCTTATTTCTGCTATCATTTTAAGTATTCATAAATATTTATAACGGTTTATACGCAATATACCTGTATGTAACCGTGTTAGCGAACGAGGCGGTCAAATGTTCGCTTTCGTGTTTCGGCATACAATATCGATGTGGTGTTAAAGGTAAATTCAGAATCAGTCCTTTGCAATCCAAAAGCCGTTCCTCGGAGCTACTAAACGAGCTCCAAAATTCGGAATTACTTCTGTCGTTCAACGTCGTCTCGTTCACGGTACCCCTGTCCTCGGCTATGCCATCTGGATGCAATGTATCCTGATGTAACAGAAATTATAACAATTATAACAATTATATAATAATGCAGCTTTTAAAAGAAATACTTAATCGTAACAGTATTTTATCCATTGTACCTCCTATATTAATTCTATATGAAACGACTTTCATTAATTCATACCCTGCTTATAAGCAGACACCTTTCTTCTAATGCTTCCATAATCTTTAATCGTTTCTTTCTATTTGACGTAACGCGATTGAACGATACTTATCAAACAAAGATTCATCTCTCTTATTGTTCTCAAATTGAATCCGCGACAAATATTAACATTGCCTCGAAAATACCCTGATAAGAAAACTCTCGTACATTCTGTTAAATCCACGTGAATAAGTTGCAAACACCGCGAATAATTATGTTGACCTACTAATTTTTAATGAGGACAATACGAGCATCTGACCGTGTCTATCTCTGCACGATAAAATGTCGATTACGATCTATTAAATTGGACCGTTATCGCTGACGTATTTAACGTCGAGTTATTTACCGAATGAAATTGACATCGTGTGATAATCATCCGATCGAATTAGATTTAATCTGAACATAAGTCAACGATTAAACATCTCGTGGTAGCAGCATCCTCCTCCACCTTAAATCTCATTTCGAAACCTTATCGCGCATAATATTACATGCAACTGTTTTTTATCACTAGCTCGATGGAAATTTGCCGCTGTTAATTTATGTCCACGGAAAATTTTCTACAATCTTCCATGCTTCTACCTCAAATTCTTTGGAGTTACGTTTATCCTTTTAGTGATAATATCTTAAATACACACTGTCATAGATATAAGTATTTGGATACTAATTCGTTACAAGACTGTGGAGGTTTATGAAAATCCATATCTTTATGAACATGACTAAAGAAACAGAACTTGGAAATTTTGTATCACCTTCTAAGTATTAGAAAGAGTATTCCACTTTGAATATTTGATATATTTTTACACATTGTATGCATTTCTGTACTTTTTAAGTTCATATAAATGCATAAATATTCGCAATCAACTTATATTTAGTAGAAACTTCAAGAAATTTTATTGTACTTATTCTTTTACATTATGAGGGAAACATAATGTGAATAAAATAATAAATTTATAATAAAAATAAAAAGTATTCAATTTGTACCAAATATCAGTAGGTATACAAATACTTATGGTCGACAAGGTACATAGAAAGAAGTCATTTTACCTCCTCGATAGCAGCATCGTCATCTTCATCTTCCTCCGTTAATTCCGTATGAAGAGGCGAAGACAGAATCAAGTCTCTTCGTCTTCTACGTTTCTCAGCATCCGAAAGTGTCTGATCGTTCATCGTCTTGTTCACTGCCTGCCATAGATCTTCTCCCTCAGCACCCTTCTTCTCAATTTCAACCATCAGTTTTTTCAGTATCTTTTTACCCCGATAACCCAAAGAATTGACTTTTTCCAACACATCTCGAAGCACTTCTGCAGATGAAGCTTCCGCTTTTTCGATCTTCTCTTCAGGATTTACTGTCGTCTTCTCTTTGCTCGTCTGACTTTGCAGAAGATTTCCACGCAGGAGTTTTCGGTGTTTTTCTATCAATCCTCCTGTGTCGTTCACAACACTCACTACATTTTTCTTCTTCAAGACTTCTTCAAAAGTTTTCATGAACATATTTTCCATCTGTTTGTTCCTAGTTTTCTGTGAATCATCATGGGGATATTGAGTAGGCGGCTTCTCGATGTTATCAGTTTCCACGAAGGTTCCTTCGTAATGGTGATGAGGGTTCTCCTTCTGCTTTTTTTTCGTGTCGAGCGTTTTGGCGAATAGTTCCGTGAGTATCACTTTCATAGCTTTGGCATCCAATTCGTGACTGTTGTAATGGTGTGTTATGGTGTTCATCGTGTGCTTCGAGCTGTTTAAAGCGTTAGCATGGTCCTTGTGATGAAACTGTATACCCTGCTGCACTCTCTTCATTTTCTCTGGCTCATTGCTAGGACTTTCACTCTATGAAACGTACATGAAATTTATATCGTTTTCGTTTTACACCCTGATAACATCGTGCTAATATAATATATGAAAATTACCTCAAGCGAACCATTCATTGTAAGGAAACCGGTCTCTTTAGCAACTTCCAGGAGTTCCTCTAATTCTTCGCTGCTATCGTCACCAATGAAGGCACATTCATGAAGATGTTTGTGACCGCGGATCATGGTTAAAGAAGCACCAGGCCATCTACCATAAAACCCATAAATTTTTACTTTTTATCGATACTTCCTCAATTTTATGCTTTGCTTCAACTTCTTTTCACTTTTACATCAATACTACCTCACACAAGTGGATACAGTAACGCTACTACCACGAAGAAGATAGAAGCCCCAATATTCTTTCATGTCGTCCTCTAAAATCAAATGTCTTGTCATAGAAACGGGTAGAAACTCGTTTTCCATTTTTGGTTCATCATTCATCAGATAGGCGTTAAACGTGGTATTAACTTTAATGACTTGACTCTGCGAAGAATTTTTTCTCGATAATCGCATTATACTTAACAAAGTTGCGATGAGCCGTGGGATTAGAACATAATAAAAATATGCCTAGAGATAAAATGAGAATGTACTTACTTGACACCACGTGGTAGATACTTTCGCGTCGATAAGCCTTTGATCGGAAACGGTTAATGGATACAGTTGCTCGCAATAAACACGATATCGCAAGTATATCGGCCCAGCCACCAATACCGCAGGAAGAAACATTCCGAGTAAGCACAATCGAAATAATCTCAGAGGCACCTTGTACTGAGACCTACGAGGCTGCCAGTCTCTTGGACGAGCACCGTCCTCTACGAATTGTATAACTTTCATGAGAATCTTTCAGTTCTATGATTACTCAAAATTAATTATAGAAACGAATGATAATGAGTAAAATGATTAGTTACAAGAGTAATTGAAAGTTTCAATTTTATTATATCAGGCATACTTTATTTTCATTTTGCTAAAAATATTTAAGAATATATTCGATATAAATGTAATATAGTTTGACTGTGAAGGATAAATACATAATTAATTCGCAGAAGATGCTCGTTTATTTACTTATTACGTTACATAAATATTCACGCTAAATTACGCAACAGAATTATTTGTCGATCTTCTTTGTTAGATGATAAGATAAATAAGATCTTTGTTAGATGAAAGATAAAATTATGCGAGTCAGCCATGTTATTTTTGAAACTCTACACTCAAAATAAGCTACATAAATTTCATTTATGTCTGTTCGTTATTTAGAAATTTAAAATGGTGTAATCGCTTCTAGTTTTAGCGACTCGTGATTGTGAAGATCGTGACGTAATTACGTGAGGACACATTAATTAATAAAATTTCTTCTTTGTCGACCTTATGTTTCTCGTTTGGAAAAGATTAGTTAAGTTTATTTTCTGAGACTTTATTGAAACAACTATAAAATATTTTATAACACTTTATAGACTTGTCTTAGCAATCATACAATTGATAATCGTAGGAATAAGTGGAAAATTTTCCTTAGAAACGAAAGTTTTTATTTTGGTACGGAGTCACGAGTAACATCAATCCAGGATATTTTGAATCGCTATCTTGTTGACACAGTCTGTAGTAACAAAGTACGTATATTTTGGATTGAGATACATTCACGATAAGTAATAATCAATAATGACGACATACATTCGTATCGTACAAAGACTTGTAACGTCTATGGAATCATTCTTTTTGAGGAAGATTTTTAAACTATTCTATAAATATTTTTTAATTAACGCTTATAAATTATGAATGAAAAATATCAAATCAATTGGGACTTATAAAACTAAAATCAAGTAAAAGTTATAACAACTTAGTAATTGTGATTAAATAGGCTAGGGGTTAGGTCTTATGTCTGCGATCGAATGCGCAAGGTTATCAAACTAGCAGTCTTCCGCGAACGTCAAACGTATGTACATATATATATATATATACATATGTACATATATATATATATATGTACATATATATATATATATGTACATATGTATTATGAATGAAAAATATCAAATCAATTGGGACTTATAAAACTAAAATCAAGTAAAAGTTATAACAACTTAGTAATTGTGATTAAATAGGCTAGGGGTTAGGTCTTATGTCTGCGATCGAATGCGCAAGGTTATCAAACTAGCAGTCTTCCGCGAACGTCAAACGTATGTACATATATATATATATATACATATGTACATATATATATATATATGTACATATGTATATATATATATATATGTATGTATTTGTTAAATTCGATAAGTGCAAGAGCAATAACTTTATCGGTTTGCTTTGAACCTAGCAAAAGTAATAACTCAAACCTATAATATTACCATGATTATTATTTTCTGAACATATGCGCTATTGATTTCTGCAATCTTATACATCTACAAATATGCATGTTTTAAACAAATATATGTAAGTATAAAGTGATTCTAACTCCAAAAATATAGCTGCCGATAATGCATTTTATCTCAAAATCCATTTTCTTTCATAAAATATTTTTTATAACAAAAACTATATTAACTTTATTAAGTAAAAATAACGACAATGTTTTTATCTATTCTATAAATAGATAAATATGGAATTAGGTGTTTAAGTACTTTATTATAGCTCCTACAATATATAACACTATTTATTCAATCAATATCAATGACATACGAATGTTGTATATTTGAGTTATCTATTGGAACTTTGAAAACAGAAAAAGACACAAAATTCGATAAAATCATTATCATTTCGGTACACTGAACGATAAAAGATATCAATACTCCTATTTAACGACATTTAAATCAGTTTAATCACAATTGTTCCCAATTTACCATGATGCATATAAATGCATAAAATATATACATATAAAAACCTTTATATAGGTGCGCTAAGATAAAAATTTAAAAATAAGATACTTATATCTTGCGCAAGAAGAAAGATTATTTACGGTGCTATTATGATCGCTATTATGAGCTACATTAAAGAAGAATATGCACGATTAAAGAATGAATGTGTTACATTTCGTTTCAAAGGGCAATACATTTCTTGGCTACTTACAGTGGCTTAAGTAAATACTATAATTACATAATTAGTTAATTCATCTATCAATGCTAATACGATTTTGATAGGCCGTGTTTAAAGCTCTACACTCGATTATAGTATGTATATACATATATGATGCATGTATACTTTGCAATGCACACATTTCTTAATACCACGTGGTAAAGGAAAAGAATGGAAAGAGAGAATATCATCGCAAAAAGATTAGTAGCTAAAACACGCACTTCACTTTGATTTAATATTTTGCTCAAAAATAGTTAAAATGTATACATATGCGTGATAAATTATTTATTTTAAAACAACGCAATTTATGGAATCAAAACGGGTTATGAAGAAGAAGAACATGAATAGCGATTATCGCTTTACTATTACATCTTCGAAATAATTGATGAAATATACGAACAAAATAAAGCATACCAAGTATATCTATTTTTAATGGCGTCGTTGGCATTCTCCTAGTAGAAACGCGGTATAGACACTCAGAATCACTATTTTCACACGTGGATAGTATTAAAAGCAATAACAGAAACAAACACACATTATATACGTTGATGATTCATTAACAAAAAGATATAATACGTAGTTTGTAAAGAACAGCAATTCTTTTTAAATAAAAATAATCCTTTTTCCAAATTTTTTATTGATTACTACAATTAAAAAGAATGTTTAAATTATTTCTCTTTTTAAAAAAGTTATTAACTTTATTTCCACTGATATTTACAATAAATGTATAATTCATTAAATGAATACATAGTTATATTTATGCAAACGGGAAATTACGTATGTAAATATACGATACGTATCGTCTGCTGCCAACAGATCGACTGAATCAGTGAACGAATATGTCATGTTTTGTATCAGTATCTTATCAAATTTTACTGTGCTCTGGATAAGCTACGATCTATACATCTATTTGCACAAAATCATGGCACTATCGTTATCCATCTTTGCCATCAAAATATTGCAGTTATCTAAAGTATGGTAAACACGACCATACGGCAACAAAAGCACACATACGTACATAATTTTCCTTTTTTCCTCAGTTGATGCGAAACTACAAAATACTAAACTATCTAAAAAGTAATATTTGCGCAAAAAATTAATTTTTTAATTTTAAAATATAAAGCTATCACATTTTTTCCAAAATACTACTTACTTCTTCAGTAAATGTATAAATTTTGTTTAAAAGAAATATTTAATATAACATACTTTTATACACAATTCTATACACAAAAAGATAATACAAAAATGCTATAATTACTTGCATGTGTAGGTATAACATTATTTATGATAAATATTATTTGCGACGAGAATCGGATTGCCTATTTTTATCATCATTTGATTTATGTGATCTTTCTCCTCTTCGTCGCTTATTAAGAGGATTTCGAGGATCATAAATTTCAAACCAATCATCGTCTTTTGTACTTGCATCTTTGGCAAGAACAGGTGCTTTTTCTTCACAATGTAATGCATGTATCATCCAAGACTCATCAGCTGGATCAAAATCATCCTCTTTGTTATCTTCTTTTTTTAATGGACTCGGCGATCTTTCTCTTATAGTTTCCTTAGCAGTTTGAAGTTTAGATTTAAACTTGTTTAATAACTCCATTGTGAAGTCCTCGCGACTTTTCCCCTTTTTAGGTAATTTCGACTTTGCTTCTTTATACTTCTCTTGAGTTTCTATATATTCTTTCATAATCTCAGTTTTCTTTACTTCTTTTTCCACCTGATCTTGTCTTAGTTTTTGATCTGCTTCTTTCGCTTTCTTTTCATTTTGAACATCACGTTTAAAATCCCGAATTTGTTTCCTAATTTCTTCCCTGCATAATAGTTAATTGAAAATACTTAAATATACATTAGAAATAAATATTAATAAACAAATATTAATATAAAACATACGCTTTTCTTTTACGTTCTTCATCTCTGTCCTTCCCAAGATAATATTTATCTTCCTTTATCTCTTTATCATCTTCATCATCATCTACCTTATAATTTTCTGTTTTAGAATTTTTCTTTGTATCTCTTAATTTATTTTTTATTCTTTCTTTCATTGCTCTAAAAATACAAAACTTTTAATAAAAGATCTTACTTAATATAATACGATTATAACGTAAATAATAAACCAACTCCTTTTCTTTTTTTATAACTTCTAATTCCTCTTGAGTTTTTTCTTCCACATCGCTTTCCCAATCGCTACTATGGTCGTTTTTTATTTTTTTGTTTGGAGGTCCAGCCAATTCAATAGCTGGTTGTGCACTTAATTTTGGATCAGTTAGGTGATCATGTGCAGACTTGCCTTTACTACTAAACTGTTTATTAAGTATCACAGATTCTTCTTCATCTTCCTCTGCTTCTTCACCAAAGGATAAAAGATTAAAATTTCTGTAACAGAATGTCTCATTATAAAGTATATTATTAATAAAACAAAATGTTCTTTCTTACTTTACTCCTGTTCTTTTAGTTTTTAAACTATCATTTATTTCTTCATTTTTCTTTGATACTATCCTTGGTACAATATCAGAAAATGGATTCTTCAATATTTGTGTTTTTATAATTTTTGGAGGATAAAGTGGTCTATCATCCTGAAATAAAAAAAATATGGAAAAATAATAGTTGCATTGATTTCTGATACATTCCAACAACACTAAATTTACCTCATCTACAAGCGCTTCTTCAAGTTTAAGCATGTTAAATATAGTTTCTCCAGTAACCTTACCAAAGATAGTATGCTTATTTTGCAACTCTGGTGTGGAACCAAGAGTAAAAAAGAACTGAGAACCGTTGTCATCTTTTCCAGCATTAGCCATAGCAATTAAACCTCTTCGACAAAACCGTAATCTTGTGTGAAATTCATCCTAATGTATACACACATATATATATATATATATATATATATATATATAAATCCAACAATTATTTTTTAATAAAACAAATTAATTTTATGTTTCAAGTAAACTCACTTTAAATGGCTGTCCATATATGCTTTCACCACCTTCTCCTGTACCTGTTGGATCACCACCCTGTGCTATAAATCCTTTAATGATTCTATGAAATATGGTGTTATCATAATAGCCTTCCATACATAATTGTATAAAATTTCTACATGCTTTTGGAGTCTCTTTTGCCCATAACTCTAAATCAATGTCACCAACAGTAGTTTTCATCATCACCTATTTATAATATATTAGTTTTGGTAATATAACATGCCATTGAAATAAAGCGTATTATTTAATGATATAAATTATTTAACATTTTAATGTAGAAGTTCAAAAATAAATATTATATACAGGTTATGTTTTTAAAAACAGGTATACAATCCATTAAAATATTATGAATTAATACTTACTTTTCCCTTAGTGGGTGGTTCTTGTATATAAATATTACTCATATTTGTAAATCCTCTTTAATAAAAAAGTTATATTTCAACAAATATCAACGAAAACACTTCATATTAAAATTTTAATTCGCTACAATACGTCAACCAAACAGGTGAAAATGTATTACTTAACACCATTGACATAGACTATACATAATATATGTAGACGTATAATCAAAACTGCCGTGAATCAAAGCAAAAAACACAAATGAGAAACTATTGTGAAATAACCTGTAATACTAAAGAAATTATGAAGTTAAGGTAAATAATATTAACTGAAATGATATATAAAGATATATATGTCTATATTATCTTATATTATAATAATTTATAATAATTACAATAATTTAATGTCATAATTTAACTTGCATTTTTCATATGGTTATCTTAAAAATAAATTTATTTATTGTAAGTTTTTATTTACTTAATTAATTTAATTATTTTACTGTTATTTAGTGATATTTAAGTACATTATTCATAGTTGTACATTTTAAGGTTATCAAGAAAAAATAAAAATAAATTATCTTCTATATGTGAAACTGTGTATTACTTTTATTTTTGAGATTATATAATTAATAATCAATATATATTTGCATCTCTTAAATTATCAAATAATTTTTAATAATGCTGGCTATTTTTATAACTATCTAATTTTATGTCTACTAAAGAAATATAGCAATGCTGATGTATTGATAAAACATTCTACATTCACAGTATAAATTTATTCTTTACTTAACTGTGTAAGCTGAAATACTTAGTAAATCTTTTGTAAAAATTTATTTATGTGTAACATGGAAGTAAACGTAATGGATGTATACCAATCAAATAATCTAAGTACCAACTCTTTATTATCTGATGATAATTTAATATATGATAAAATGAAAATGTGTTTAAATTACATTCATTTCAAAGTATTTCCCACTGATTGGGAAAAAAATATTTTGAATTTATTACCAAAGAAATATAACAGAAAATATTCTTTTCTAATAAAAACAATATTAAAAGAAGTAAAAGACATATATGCTAAGGATATGCAAGATTTCTTAAATAAAGTTACGTTATCAAATCATAAAAAGAATGATGATTATGTTTCTAAGATAATTTATGCGAACCATAAATTCTTTGATGATCAAAATGCTTTTAATAAAAATATTTTTTTAAGACGTGGTAAATTATTAAATAAAAGATATTATCTTTATTTAGAACCAATTAGAATTATTATAAAACAAGCACAACTGAAACTTCCAGTATTTATTTGCAACTTTGAACATTATCATAATTTTGGGCTTATGTCATTAACTGATTTTCAAAATATGATTAATAATGATATTAAAAAAGGATCCTTGGCACTAACAAATCAGTTTTATACTAAGGTGGCAACAGCTGTAGCAACAAATAAGATTTTAAGGAACATTAATAAGAAACGATTACCCAGTATTATGCACTGTATAACACATGTTTTTGTGCAACAAATTTTGAATGTCATGATAAAATCTATTGATCATATAGTAAACACTATGAGTGATAAATATTGCTGTCCTCAAATCAAATTTCAACTTATTATGCAAGATGACCAATTATGTCTTAGTCCTACTGTTGAAGAAGTATATTCTTTATATCACGATATCATTGAAAAAATTAGGATAATTGCCCAAGATTTAATACCATTGGAAGAATGGCTTAATATAAAAGTATATTATAAATATATTAAAGTAGAATTACCAAATTGTTATATTAAAGAGTCTCATAACAAGTTGCAACTTACTTTAGATAACTTATTTCAATCTTTAAATGAACATGTAAAACATATCATTGAAGAATTTTATCTTATCTGTACACCTAATTTAAGGGAAAGAATATTATCATTAACATCTGAAAAAATAAACTTTGATTTATACATCCAACATATACAGGAATACAGTACCTATTTAATAAAATCAAATACAATGACATTGAATACATATCATGCAATAGGAAAATTGGAACAACATGGAGCTAAAGAATTTTTGAAACAGGAATCCTTTGATATTATAAATATTTTTTTAAACAAACTCATTAAATACCATCAAGAATTCAATGAATCTATTTGTTTAGATTTTGAAAATTTAAAAACAAAGATATTAAATATTCCAAAAAATTCACAATCCTTAATTGAGTTAACTGAATATATTTCCTATGCATCACAAGTGCTAATAAGAGAATTAGAACATAAAATTCAGTATTCAATACACATGTTAAGCATATTATCAGAGATAACAGTTTTATCAGATGATCACATTCAATTAAATAAAGAGACTATTAATTGGTTATATGAAATTGAAGCAATATTTAAACAAAGTAATATATTATGTGAGGCAATGAAAAGTGAATTAGAAGATGATATGCAGAAAAGGATAAATAACTTAAACATTAATGTGGATAACATCATTCCTCAACTTAGTGTGTTAGATAATATGGATAATATAAACAGAATTGAAGAATATGTTGAATATTATAAAGGTCTTCTAAAACAAATAAATCAAATTAAACAGGAAATGCGAAGAATTAATGAAGAAGAAACATTATTTAAATTTCCTGAAACTGAGTTTTCAAATGTAATTGAATTATATGAAATGATCATATCATTTCATGATCTCATTTATGTCATTTACCAATGGCAAAGAGATTATTCTGTATGGTTAGATGGTCCCTTTGAATGTTTGGATGCTGTCATTATAGAAAACAAAACGTTGAATTATTTTGAAAAAGTTACTGAAATGAGCAAAATGTTTAGAACAAGGATTAAAATGGATGTAACACTGAACAAATGTTTCAAATTTTCTGGACTTGCAGATGATCCAGATCCGATGCAACAACCTGCACCATTAAAGTTATGTTGGCAAGCACTTAATTCTATAAACAATTTTAAGCAATATTTACCATTAGTAACATGTATGTGTAATTCAGCTCTGCAAAAACGACATTGGATAGAAATGTCTGCAATATGTAAGTTTAATCTTACACCTAATGCTGGGACTAGTTTAAGAAAAATTATTTCATATAATTTAATGAGTGATATTGAGAAATATAAAGCTATCAGTTTAAGTGCTAATAGGGAATTAAAGATGCAACAGAAATTATTGAAAATGATCAAAGAATGGGATAAAATTTCTTTTGAAATAAGTCTTGATAAACAAACTGAAATGAATGTATTTTCTAATATGGACGATATAGAATTATTACTTGAAGATCACCTTATAATTATTGAAGAAATGAAAACTTCAAATTTTGTTAAAGAAATAGCTTCCTTAATGACAGATTTTTTAATGTCTCTCACTAGGATTCAAGAAATTATTAATCAATGGAATTACATACAAATATTAGTTCTTTCCTTAAACTCTACTTTTTGTCACCCAAGCATAAAAGTACATTTAGCCAAAGAATTTCTTTTGTACAAAGAAATTAAAGAAGTCTTAAAACATATTCAAAAGAAGCTCTCAGAAACACCTACTTTTAGAGAACTTAATGATACAATAATTTCAAAATCTTTACTCAATATTGTTGAGAAGCTTGAATACATAAATGAAGAAGTTAAAAATTATATACAAACTAAGAGACAATATTTTCCAAGGTTTTATTTTCTTTCTGATAAAGAAATTGAAGAAATATTATTTAAATCTGATATATCTATACAAAGTATATGTATACAAAAATGTTTTGAAGGTATACAAAAACTAAAAATTGATAAAGAAAAATCTATTTGTTCCATTTTTGGTGATTATGAAGAAGAATTACATTTAGAAAAATTAATTTCACTTAATGTTCAATATGATCATGAAGAGAAATGGTTGATATATCTTGAAAATGAAATAAATACCACAATAAAAAAAAGCATTCTCCTATCTTATCAAATATTTAGTAAAACATTTGCACATAATAGCATTATAAATTTTCCAAGTATGGCAATTGTTTGTACTTTTCAACTTTGCTGGACTATCGAGGTACATAGGTGTCTTACTCCTCTTAATTTTAAAGCTCTGAATTCCTTATATTCAAGATATATTAATTATGTAACTAGCTTAACTAGTGAATTGAAAAATTATTCGATAAAAAGATTGAGAAATTTGTTAATGTCTTTAATTACTATATTAATTCAACAAAAAGACATTATTCAGTTATTATTAGACAAAAATATTACCAGATCTACAGACTTTGAATGGGTTGCACAATTACAATATTATTTAGTAGAAGATTGCATAGAAGTATCTATTTTTAATACAACTATAAAATATGGGTATGAATATAGTTATTACAAACAACATATAATAAATACTCCTTTAACAGATAGATGTTTTCATACTCTTATGCAAGCGTATAAGTATCATTTATATGGTGCTATTACAGGACCATCTGGTACAGGAAAATTAGAAACTCTCAAAAGTTTAGCTAAAACTATTGCAATACAATTTCGTTCTTTTAACTGTACTAATACATTATCTTATAATTTTCTATCTCAAGTATTTAAGGGATTTATTTCTTGTGGAGTATGGCTTTGTTTTAAAAACTTTGATACATTAAAAATTGATCTCCTATCAAGACTCGCACAAACTCTTACTTCTATTTTTCAAATTATAGCAACAAATTTAAAAATCACAATGTTTGAAGGTTCCTCATTAAGAGTAAGTAGAATTGGACATATTTGCATCATTACAAAACTGAATCTATTCCAATATTCTAATTTACCGGATAATTTAAGAATATTATTTAGAACAGTATCTATGATAGTACCAGATATGAATAAAATTATAGAAGTTGAATTTTTCGCTGGTGGCATATCTAATTCAAAGCTATTAACTTCAAAATTAGTTACGCTATATAAAATACTATCTGAGCAATTATGGTGTCAATCATGTAACATTTTTAATTTGTATTCTATGAAGACAATTGTCAAAACCACAATTTTTTTAAAGAGAAGTTTTCCACATGAAAATGAAACTGTACTACTTTTACGTTCATTAATTAATGTTAATCTTCCAAAACTTTGTACTATAGATACACACATTTTTAGAAATATAGTTCATTACATGTTTCCAGATCTTACCTTGTTGCCTCCTAACTATGCAGTATTTTTAGAAACTCTTGAAACAGTATGTACATCTAAATCTATCCATATTCATGATGTTTTCAAACTTAAAATTATACAAATATTTGAATTAATGCATATTCATCAATGTTTAATGATTGTCGGTAACCCTTTTGTTGGGAAAACAGAAATATTAAATATCCTTCAAGTTGTTTTATTGTCTTTATATGAGCAAGGTAGTGAATTTGGTGTTAATATAAAATTAGAGACAATAGTTCCAAGTACAATTGATGTTAATCACCTTTTTAGTCATTTTGATGAAAAATCTAAAATTTGGAAGGATGGAATATGTTCCAAAATGATTCAGCCATTCTCAAAGAATGATTCCTTTGACAGAAGGTGGATAATATTTGACGGACTTCTAAATAGTGTATGGATTGAAAATTTATATGCAGTTCTTGATATAAATAGGATGTTATATTTATCATCAAATGAAAAAACGAATATGACAAATTTTGTATCCATTATCTTTGAAACAATAAGTATGGAAGATATTTCTCCTGCTATTTTATCAACTTGTGGTATAATTTATATTGAGTCAAATTCTATTGATTGGAGACCCTATGTTAAAACCTATTTTTCCAAACACAATATTTATGACGAACATAAAAACATATTGTATCCATTGTTTGATTGGATAATAGAACCTTGTTTACAATTTATACAAAAGAATTGCACTGTAACTTTAAATGTTGGCCAGTTACATTTTGTAATGTCAACATTAAATTTGTTTGAAATGTATTTAAGGGATGCTTTGACGGAAAATACTGAAGAGAAGGGGAAAACATCCCATTTTTTAATATGGGCTCAGGTTGCACTTATATTATCTATAATATGGGGTTTAGGAGGAAATTTAGATATAGATTCTCATACTAAATTTAATTCTTTCTGTACATCACTTTGGACTGGTGCAATTAAAGAATATCCAAAACCAGAAATAATAAAGGGTTTTGACATAACACTACCTCATGAAGGCTTAATACAAGATAATTTTTATATCTTCAAAGGTGTTGGAAATTGGAAGTATTGGGGAAGTACTGATATATTAAAGAGTGAGCAAATATTAGAAAACTCTGGTTGTAATGAAATTTTTGTACCAACAATTAATACAATAAAATATAATCACATGATTCTCAAACATATAAAATACAGAAAACCTTTCATTATTTGTGGAGATGAATCTATTGGAAAAAGTTATCTTATAAAAACTTTATTGAAAAATAAATTACCTGAAGGAATATATTCCAATTTACTTAATTTTATTTCTCTGAATACAGTTGCTAAAACACAACAATTATTACTTTCAAAATTAAATAAAATAAGAAAAAGGCACTATGGACCACCGAAAGATCAGTTTTGTATTAATTTTATAGATGATCTTAATATGCAAAGATATGAATGCCAATCAGAAATAAATGGTATCTTAGATCTTATTCGACAATATCATAGTTATGGTTACTTGTATGATATTAATGATTCTGAAAAAATTTGTATTAGTGACATTATGTTATCTCTTTCAATTGTAACTAATACCAAAATTAAAATATGTCCTAGATTTTTAAGGCACTTTAATTTATACACTATGTATGCCCCTGCTACAGATACTATATTCAGAATATTTTCAAATGTGCTTTTCAGTAATTTAAAAAATAATTCTTTTACTGCAGATATATTCAGTACTGTAACCAGTATAATTAATGCTACGATTGATATATATAATTCTATAATTAAAACTTTACTACCAATACCTACTAAGTTTCAGTATCAATTTAGTATAAGAGATATAAGCAGAGTTATTAACGGATGTAGTCTTCTTCAAAAAGAATCAGTAGAAACTAAAGTTACCTTCATGCGGCTTTGGGCTCATGAGGTATGGCGAGTTTTTGGTGATCGAATATTGGATAATAATGACAAAGAATGGCTTTTTTCACAGATTAAAATAACCTGCAAACATCATTTCAAAGATTCATTTGAAACAGCTTTTGATTATCTGCCAAAATTTGATAATAATGAAATTATCAAGGATAGTTTTTGTAATTTAATATTCTGCACTTTTATGTGTACAGAAAAATATGAAAATAAAAGATACGAAGAAATAAATTCTATTGAGAAATTACAAACTAAAATTATTTTTTATATAAATGAATATAATAATAATAATGTGAAAAAACGGATTGATATTGTAGTATCACAGTATATTTTAGAATGTTTGATAAAAGTTTCAAGAATTTTAGCTATACCAGGAAGCAATTTATTAATAATTTCTAGTATAGGATTTGGTAGAAAGTCCTTAGCAAGTCTAGCTGCTTATATGCAACAACAAGAATTATATGAACCTTCTGTGCAATCTTATTGTGACTTCAACATGTGGAGAAAAGATATAAAACTGGTTTTACGAAAGTGTGGTGAGTTAAAACAGAATTTTATCCTCTTTTTAAAAGATAAACAAATAAAGAATAATTTTCTTCGTGATATTTGTTGCCTATTGTCTACTGGTGAAATACCTGATTTATTTTCTATTGAAGAAAGGTGTGATATCATTGAAATGATACGTTTGCATGCTCAAGGTGGTAATAAAAATGAAGAAATCAGTAATCATGCAGTAATGAATTTTTTTTTGGAACAATGTAGAAGAAAATTACATATTATATTTTGTTTTACTGAAACAAACAAAAGTATAAGATCATATTTATATAAATATCCAGAATTAATAAAATATTGTACAGTAAACTGGTATGAAATGTGGCCAACAGATACACTTTTACAGGTAGGTTTGAAATACATTCAAGACATTAATATTGAAGAAGACATAAAAGCAAATGTAATAAAAATTTGCATACAATTATATAACTATGTACAAGAAATAAGCAAAGAATACTACAAAGAAACTGGAATGAAAATTCATGTTACATCAGTTACATATTTGCACATGTTAAAATTATATGTTCACTTGATATGTAAAAAACAGGAAGATATTGTTACATTGAAAAATAAATACCTAACAGGTTTAGAAAAATTAGAATTAGCAGCTCAACAAGTAGAAAAGATGAAAACCACATTAACAATATTGAAACCACAGTTAGAGTTATCTGCCCAAAAAACGATAATTACAATGAAAGAAGTGGAGAATGAAAATATTATTGTAGAAAAAGCAACTGCTGTTGTACAACAAGAAGAAGAAATAGCAAATAAGAAAACAGAAATTGCTGGGAAATTAAAATTGGAATGCGAAGCTGATCTAGCTGTAGCAATTCCAATTTTAGAAGATGCTATTGTTGCATTAAATACACTAAAACCTACAGACATTACATTGGTTAAAGCTATGAAAAATCCTCCTGATACTATCAAGCTAGTAATGGCAGCAATATGTGTAATGCTTGATGTTCCCCCAGATAGAGCAATTGATTCAGTTACTGGCAAAAAATATACAGATTATTGGGGTCCAAGCAAACGCATTTTAAGTGATATGAACTTTTTACAAATTTTAAAAGACTATGATAAGGATAACATTCCATCTAATATTATACAAACTATTAAGAAGACATACATAATAGATAGCAATTTTAAACCACATATCGTTGCCAAAGCATCAAGTGCTGCAGAAGGCCTTTGTAAATGGGTATGTGCAATGGTGTCTTATGATGAAGTTGCAAAGGCAGTTGCTCCTAAAAAAGAAAAATTGCTTATTGCAGAAAAAGAATGTAATGAAGCTGAAGCATTTCTAAATGAAAAACGAAAAACTCTGTTGACATTAAATGTTAAACTCGCTGCCTTGAATGACAGTCTTCAAGAAACACTACAACAAAAAATAAAACTAAAGCAAGAAGTAGAAGACTGTACCATCAAACTTCAGAAAGCAAAAAATTTAATGGCAAGTTTAGGAGGGGAAAAAGATCGTTGGATGCAGATTGCAGAAAATCTTAAAAGGAATTATGATAATCTTGTGGGTGACATGATATTGACATGTGCAACTATAAATTATGCAGCATCATATAATATTGTATTTCGTAACAAAATTTTAGAGCAATGGAAACAATATATGGAAATTCTGAAAATATCATATAGTAAGAACTATAATTTAATAAATATACTTGGAGAAGAAAATGATATAAACCATTGGTATTTTTCTGGTTTACCTAAAAATAGCTTTTCAGTTGAAAATGCAATTATTATGACTAATTCCAAATTATGGTCCTTATTTATTGATTCACAAAATCAAGCAAATGAGTGGATTAAAAAAATTGAAAAAAAGAATAATTTAAAAATTATTAAGCTCACTGACTCCAATTATTTGTCAATTATTCAATATAATGTTGAAAATGGTATCCCCACATTAATTGAAAATGTAGGAGAAGAATTAGAAATATCATTGGATCCTTTTCTTCTAAGAAGAATTTACAACGATGAAAAATCTTCATACTTAGATATTGGTCATGATATAATAAAATATTCATTCGATTTCCGATTATATATTACAACGCGATTACTTAATCCTCAATTTTCATGCGAGATGTTTAGCAAACTTACAATAATTAATTTTTCCATTCCCAATGAAGCTCTTCAAGATAAACTTCTTGATTTTATTATTTACAAAGAAAAGCCAGAACTTCAAGAAAAGTTTAAAATTTTACTTATGGAAGATGCTAACAATAAAAAAATATTAAAGCAACAAGAAGATATAATATTAAATATCTTATCTTCAACAACAACAAATATTCTTGAGGATGAGACTGCTATAAAAAGTTTAGATTCTTCAAAAAATTTTTCTTTGAACATTATCAAGAAACAAGAAATGACAAAGGTAACATCACAAGAAATAAATAAATTTCGAAATACTTATGTAAATTTTGTTAAATATTGTACAGATTTATTCAATACATTAAATGTTTTGCCATATTTAAATCATATGTATCGTTTCTCTTTTTCTTGGTTTATACAATTATATAGAAGATCAATTGAAATTTCAAGTAGAAGTGTTATTCTTGAAAAACGATTAAAATATTTAAAATTTTCATTTACTCAAAGTCTTTATTCAAGCATTTGCAGATCTTTATCAGAAAAACATAAAATACTGTATTCTTTTCTATTATGTTCAAAAATTCTATTGAATGATCAACAAACAACTGAAGAAGAAATTAAATATTTTATGACATCAAACATAAATCATAGTAATACAGTTCCAAATTATAAATTTGATTGGCTTCCACAAAGTATTTGGATAAATATTTATAATCTCAGTAAAATACTTCCTTCCTTCTATGATCTTGCAGATGATTTTTGTTCTAATGATAAGGCTTGGAAACAATATTATGTTTCTGAATCATTTGAAGATCATCTGATGCCAGAACCTTGGATTAATAAGTTATCTTTGTTTCAGAAACTCATTCTTGTAAAAATTTTACGTCCTGATCAAATTACAATACAGATTATGAAAATGATAGAAAATATGTTGGGAAATACACAAAACCATTCCCCTAAAATTAAAATATCTCAATCATATGCGGAATCCAGTTATTTAACTCCACTTTTATTTATTTTACCTGCTTCTTTAACACCATTATCTATTATTTCTACATATGCAAATACTAAAGGTTACTTATCCAAATTTGTCTCTCTATCTATGAGTAAAGGTGAAGAAAAGAAAGCTGAATTTCTTATAAAGAGAGCTCAGAAGGAAGGAGGTTGGGTGTTTCTGCAAAATTGTCATCTAGTAACTCATTGGTTGGCTAATCTTGAAAAAATTTGTGATAATTGTAACATTTCTAATTCATCTTTAGATTATCGCTTATGGTTATCCAGTTGTTCTATCAATGAATTTCCAATTAGTATATTGCAAAATAGTATAAAAATCATGCACGATTATCCTTTAAATATTAAAGAAACATTGTTGAATATTTATCAGTCAGAACCTATAATAAATAAAGAATTTTTTGAAGGCTGTCCTGGAAAAGATAAAATTTTCTTAAAACTTCTTTTTGCAATATGTCTTTTTCATGTAATTATACAAGAGAGAGAACACTTTGGGTTTCAAGGATGGAATATACCATATAAATTTGATCATACTGATCTTAAAATATCCATTATGCAATTACAAAATTTCATAAATAATGCAGATCATGTACCCTTTGATATTTTTCTATATCTTATTGGAGAATGCAATTATGGGGGCAAAATTCGAGACGAATTTGACAGTAGATATTTAAAACATCTTTTAACTGATTATTGCAATCCTAACATAATTGAAAATGGACAGTATGTACATGCAAATGGCATACAGGAATTAATACCACAAAGATGTGAATATTATCAAGTAATTGATCATATTAGGAAAATTCCATCAAACTTATCATTTCAAATATTTGGATTTAATAGAAATGGTATTATTATTCGAAATACTATGATAGCTACAGAATTGATATCATCTCTTTCATATATGAGCTCTCCAATTTCTTTATTAGATGAAGAGTTACAGAAAGATCAAGTATTAATTTTAATTAATGATATTAATGATAAATTATGTGATGCAATTAAAGTTAATGAAATTCAAGAACAATGTACTTCTATGCTTAAAGAACCTTTGCAAAGAGTTCTTTTTTGTGAAATCAAATCATTAAAACATATTTTAGAAATTATAATAAAGGCATTGGCTAATTTAAAATTAGCATTGGATGGTTATCTTCTTTTTACGGATTCGTTGAAAAAATTAGCAAAAGAAATATGTAAAAATAAAATTCCACATACTTGGAAGATGATACAAATTAATATTCTTTCTGAAACCTTAACAGACTACATCGATAATTTATTAAAACGTGCTAAGTTTATTCAAAATTGGATTAATCAAGGACGTCCAAAAATTATTTGGTTTGATACATTATTTCATTACAAAATGTTCTTTTCTGCAATGTTATTGACATTTTCTAAAAGGTATAATATATCTATTGAAGATATCATTTTCGATTTTGAAATAGATACAAAAAAAGAAATTGACGAAGAATATGATGATGCATATTTAATTTGTGGACTGCATTTATGTGGTGCTCGATGGGATTTGGAAAAAAGAATGTTAGTCGAAAATTTTACAAATGAAATCTGGCAAAATATGCCACCAATACATCTTAAATGTTCACGGAAAAAAAAAAGTGCAGATAAAATCTATGAATGCCCTGTCTATATAACTGCTGCTAAAGATATTGATAAAGATATCAAATTTTCTTCAAAGAATTATATAATTAGTATACCTTTGAAAACTGATACCCCTGCAACTCATTGGATAAAGTGCGGTACAGCTTTATTTTGTCATATGTAAGTTATATAAGTTAAGTAAAAAATATTAAAATAAAAACAATTTTCATATACCATATTTGTATATTTTTTACAATAATATCTAGTAATATGTTTAACATACAATACTTAAAGTAAATGTATGTGTGGAATTATATCAATGTGATACAATTATAGAAATTATCAAAAAGTTAAAACTAAATCAAAATGTTTATTCAAACATTTCGCGGATTCTTTCATTGTGTATATATCCGGTTCAGTTCCATATAAATGGAAGGAATGACAGGTAAATTGAAGAAATTGACGTAAAGTTGAATTACTGAACAAAGGAAATTATTATATTGGAAATTTTTTAAGCTATAATTACAAGCGTAAGTTGCGATACATTGCGAGTGGTGTAATATTTGCTTTCAATGGCGAACCATGATGAGTTGGTTTCGCAATTTATAGATACAACTGGGGTTGAACCTGAAGAAGCACGATTTTATCTTGAGTTATTTAATTGGCAGCTCGAGGTGAGGCAGCATATTTATTACACCTTTTATAAACTTTAATGCGAAACGTTATAATTTTTTATTATTATAACTAATTTTTCTATCGATCTTCAACGTCAACTTTGTAACCTTAAATTTATTACATTTTCCTATTTTTATCACGCTTCATTGCGTGATTTTTTAATGTTTTGAAGCGGACCATTGCTTTTGTTACTATATTAAGGGCTTCTTTTAACCAAAAAATGTTTGACAACGTTACATACATAGCAATAATGTCGCAATATCGTGATTAAAGTTATTAGATGTTATATTTTAGGAATATTGTCATTGACATTATACCTAAAATAAGATTAGTCATCATAAAGAAAATTCTTTTACACATTGTGACTTCTTAATAATAAAGTTTATTGATTACGGTTTATTCTTAAGTGTGTCATTATCAATATCCAAGTATATTTATCAATTATATAAAACATTTTAGGTTGCTCTTGACACATTTTACTATCCTCCTGCTTTGCCTTCATTGTCTAATGAACCTACTGAAGGTGCAACATCAGAAGAGGAACGTACTGATATTGCAGATAAAAGCACAGGAAGCTTAAAATCATCAGAAATGGAAGGGAAATCATCGAAAGATAAAGCAAAACCAAAGCCTAAGTTTGCAATGCTTAGTGATCTTAAAGATAGAGAAAGTAGTCCTGAAGATGAAGAAGGACAAGCATTTTATGCTGGTGGTTCTGAACATACTGGACAACAAATTTTAGGACCAGGAAAGAAAAAGGATATTGTTAGTGATATGTTTAAATCATGTCAGAGACAATCAATTGCTGTAGAACCAAAACCAAGTGGGCAACAAAGGCCAAATACCTTTAGTGGTACTGGGTATAAATTAGGTCAGACTAGTTCAGATACTGAAAGTAAGTTATCAGGATTATTAAAATTTGTTCTATCTTCTATAACAAGTTATTATATTGAAATAAATATTTTTTATAGTCGTTACTGCTACATCATCTAATCATCAACAATCAAATTCTGGACTAATTACTTTAAAATTATGGAAAGATGGGTTTACTATAAATGATTCTGAACTTCGTTTATATAGTGATCCAGAAAATAGAGAATTTCTGGAGACTATAAAGAGGGGTGAAATACCGGCAGAGATACGTCAAGAGATACAAGGTACTGAAGCACGCCTTGATATGGAAGATCATCATCATGAAATGTATGTCCCTCCAAAAGTAAAAGTGAAAGCTTTCAGTGGTAAAGGACATATGCTAGGAAGGTATATAATTCATATCTATACTTACAAAAATTATTTTTTATATACACTTTAGTTATTTTTAATAATATTTTTGTTCAGTCCTTCTCCAGCTACAGTTGGCATGACAATACCGGCAGATCTTGCAGATCAAGCAGCTAATGAATCTCAGGCAAAACAAAAATTAAATTTAGATGAATCAAAACCAGTTACAACAATACAAATTCGCCTTGCTGATGGAACTAATGTAAAAGCTCAATTTAATTTAACTCATACCATTAATGACTTGAGGCAATACATAATAACGTATCCTTTCTTAATTAATATTGTTATTATAAAGATAGACAAATTTATTATGTGTAAATATATTTTTCCTTAATTACTTCGTAGTATGAGACCTCAATATGCTATGAGAGAATTTAGTTTATTAACAATGTATCCTACTAAGGAGATTACAGAAGATAAAACTATTGAAGAAGCTGGCTTGCAAAATACAACAATAATTCAACGACTGAAATAAATGTCTTTCTAGATTCTTAGTTATGGGAGTTTAAGTGATGTATTGATTAGATGATTCATAAATATACATTGAAACACTTAAAAATAACATTTCAACACACTTGAGTAATTGAATGGCACTTTAATATTGTTTATTTTAATTTTAAGTATGGTTTTTGTTGTATAATATTTTTGCTAATGCAAGAAATATTTTACTGAAGATAAATCTAACAATAAAATCTTAATTAACATGGAATAAAATTACAAAACCTTTGTAAAATTTGCAATAAAATCATTCGATTTATATGTATTTATTATATACATCTTTTATATGTGGGTAACTAGCAATTATAATATAATAAAAAAGATATAAAAATTTCTTTTAAACATAGTGCTAAACAACTTATGAAAATGTTTTTATACTATTTCTTTTGATAAATAAAGTATTCAAAATAAGAAATGTATTAACAGGTGGAGAATATTTAATATAAAAGATAATATTGGGAAGTTGAAATATTTATACATAAATTATGGAATTCTATATACTAAAATCTAAATCATTCTGCTTTGTAACAAAGTTTTATATACATGTTATATACACGTTATACAATATTGTATTCTTATATTTATATCTTACAATACATATAAAAATGAATTACTTTTTCCTAATGATAACTTTCAGACTAAAATTATCTTATAGATACATTAAATCTAATTATTACTTGTGATTATTTTATAGAAATTTATTCTCTGTTATAAATTTTCGAAATATTTGTGAATTCTGTATATCTTCAGTGAATCTTAAAATTGAAGTATCTTTAGTACCTGTTTCCAGATTTGATTTTCCAGGACAATACTGATAACGATTTAATGTAACTAAATCTTTTCCAATATCTCGTGTATACATATTATTTTTGTTTAATGCTTCAAGTGTATTATAAATATAAATTGGTTGATTATCAGGGATACTTGAGTCATAATGTAGTTTTTTAAATATTATGAATGTTACATTCCTATTGGTTGTATCATCAATTTGTTGTGTACAAAATGTTAATGTCTTTAATTTGTAACGATCTGCTTTCATTCTAGACTTTTTAAAATCTGTCATTAAATCTATAAGGGAATGATGATATCTTAAAATTATATACTCTTCCCAAGATAATGTAGTGATATACCTAACTTTATTATATGTACGGTACAAACAATCTGCTTGTATCAAGTCTTTTATTATAGTAGGGTGAGTAGCAGGAAAAGGAAAATTCCATGGCACTACTGTGTATGTAAATTTCCAATATGGATCTTGAGATTTAAATAATTCTTTAAGGTTGTTATTATATTGATTTGGAATACCAAAATCGTACACTATAAAATTATCTATGCCAATTATGTCATGAAACTGTATAAAGCCAATCATTTGTAATAACTGTATTGGTTTTGTTAATGGTGGTGCTATGCATACTCCAGCATTAATATAATTTAAATTATGAGGTTGGCTTTTTATTGGTAATATAGGTATATTGTGAGCATCTAAATTAGATTTTGTAAGAAACATTATTCCTACTGGTATTTTATTTGCTTTGTATGCACAATAGAAATGATATCCTCCATTTTTGTCAGTGCTATTTAAATTATTACCAATTGAAAGATAACTAAAACTTCCTAAAACTGGTTCAATTTCATTTTCAAATAGTATTTGACATTGCATATCCTTAATGTTATTTGATGAACCAAAACCTATTACTTGAATTTCTTTGTCGCGTATATTATATGCAGAATAAACATATAGATCATCATCTAATCTTTGCCAAGCAGAGAGTGGTTCTTCAAATTTCATATCAAATTTAGTAAACATTGGCACATTATTTGTGCAGTTTATTTCACTTCTCTGATTTGGCTTACCAAAGTAATTAAAAACTTCTAAAACATATCTTAATTTGTTATATTCATGTCTATAAAATAATAAGGATATTAGACTCACTACAGCAATTATTACAAGTGCAGCCTGGTAGTATTTTCGCATGTTTCAAGATTTAACGTAATAAATAATAATATATAAATAATATACAATTGTATCAATTAAAACATATGGCAGTTTATAATTTGTGAATTGGATTATCTCAGGTGTAAATAGAATTCTGAAACAAAAATTTTATTTAAGAAATTAGATATTATTGTTATACGAGTTTTATAAATTTTTATTTACGTACACCTTGAAAATAACGTATTTAAAAGTTTTACTTTGAGATACGTATAATATGTTGACATTTTCTTGAAATATCCCATTTACTATTTAATCCAATTGTTGAACTTATTGTTCACTAAATTTCCATTTCTTACACTGTATTATTATTGAAAATTAATTTAAATGCTTGCAATCTATATTTGTTAAAGATTCAAAGATATATTCAAGCGTTTGATAACCAAATAAAAACTGCTAGGTTAGTAATCTTTCGCGCCAATTTTTTAAATGATCATGCATGTACATATGTAGATATAAAATATTTATTGCATTTTATTATTATTTTTCCTTACGTAACGTTTGAAAGGATTTTTTAGAAATTATTTTTAAGGTTTGCACAATAAAAAAACAATAAGTAGTTTTGTATTAAATTTAAATTTATTAGTATAAAGATGATTTATACAATTGCGTATTGTTCGTATAACAATTCGCGTACTTTATAATAATCTTCTGAAATGCAGCCTTCTAATATTACTTTTCCAGCCTCATGCTAAAAAGATCGTATTAAACTATAAGATATTTTTATTTTATCAGATTATTATATTTTGATGATATTAAATACAAACCCTCCTAACGGCGATAGTATTATTGCAACACCATAAAACACCTCCACTAAATTCAGAAGGAATATTACTTTTGTTCAAAATCTGTTTAAAATCAGATAGTTTTAATTCGTTTATAAATGTTGTTTGATGGCCGGGTACCTATAATTTATAAATACATTTATATTGTAAAAACTAAAACTTCATTTTTGTATGAATACATACCTCATTTAATGGTAATGGTTCCAATGTAAGTATTTTGTCACTTTGATCTATTACATCATCTGACTCGGTACCTGCAACAGCATCTCGGCATATCTGATCACGAGCAGTTATCATTGCATCAACCCATGCTACCTCAGAATCACCTTTTCCTTTTGAAAAGTTTAAACCACTAACAAGCGCATCTGTCAAACGAACCTGAACAAAAAGCGACATTTTAATTTATACACATTGGTTTACAAAAATTAATTAAATATTACTTGGTATATGTGCGTTTCTGTTGTAGCATCTAATGTTTCTCCCCTCCCTGGAATAAACACTCGTGCACCTGCACTTTGTGCTTGTTGAGCCAGGATTTCAGTGTCCTTTTGTGATCCTCTAACTAGTACAACTCTTCGTGGTCTTAATTGCGCTAAAATTTTCTGTAGTGATTCTCCGTCGGATCTACCTTCAAAATCTATATATGTGACAGATGCATTAACTGTCATTGTACGTGTAACTTGGATACATTTTGTTGGGATATCAGTGGGTATTTCTGGATGATGAGTAGTATCTTCTTGTCTTGTTTCCAGATTTTCTTTATTATCATCCACTTCTGGCATAGTTTCTGCTATTTTATAATCTTCTGGTCTATGATATATACAAATCAATATAAATATTTAAAACTTATTATACATAGCTATTATTAATTTAATAAAGTAATACCTTATAATTTCTCCATATTCGTCGATTTTAATTTTTTCTTCTAAAAATGGAAACATAGGGTGTTGTTTTTTACTTTGTTTGAAAAATCCTGGTTTACTTTCTTGTTTTACTAATAAATCGTGTTTTCCTCTTCCCCCACCAACTTCTATTTCATCTTCTGATTCAGAACTTACATCAGCAGTCTCCCTAAAAGGTAAAAAAGTATTCAAGGAATAAGAGATATTTTAAGAATAAGACATTTTTTATATTATGCAATCACGTACATTTGTTCTTGTTTCAATTGCTCTTGCTTTAATTTTTCTTTTCTTTGATATTCTTCTAATTCAAGTCCTTCTAACTTAATTCTCCTTTTCACCTCCAATGTAATATTTCTATTACCGCCCTTTTCAACCAAATCTCTTGCAAGTGTTCCTGGTGATGTCCTGCTAGTTAATATAATACTGTTTTGGGGGTTACCACACCATTGCAAAAACAACTCTCTTGAAAAACCACATTCCATATCTGGAGTACTTGCAAGTACAACCTAGAGTATTTGTATATAAATGTATGTATTTTCAATTATAATGTTTGTAAGTTATAATTTTATTAAAGATATTCTAACCTTTGGACTGGGAACTTGATTTAATTCTGCCATACTGTGACATAGTTGTAAATGCTTAAATTGAAATGGATTGTTTCTAGCACCTTCAAAACTCCTCATTAATTTATCACTCATCCATTCTATTTGTGACTTAGCAAACTCAACAACATTGTAACTAACATTGTTTAAAAGAGCCAAAGAATATGCAAGTAAACCAGATTCTTTATTACGCCATAATTGGTCCAACATATGAGCCAATTCTAATACACGACCAGCTGTATCTACACTGACCAAGACATTTCCACCTCCACGTAATGTTTGTAAAATGTTTGCTGTAAATTATTATTGCATATAAAGTACTATAAAAATTTATTGCTGGAATTATCATAAGCATTTATTTTCATACTCATTAATTTCTCATCTCTTGTTCTACGTCTTGCTTGCTGATAAGTAGCATTGAAAGCATCTGTTATTAACAAAGATGGTCTCTGTAGTCTTTCTAATTCGCAACCATTTAAATGTCGTTCTTTTTTGTGATTAAAATCAACAGCATATATTATGTCTTCTTCGCCAACTTTTACAATTTTCCAGATAGTTCCCCCAATCATGTGACCAGCTGGTAAAGGTGTTAAAGTAACTCCATATCCTTTTCCTTTCATTGAAATGCTTTGATTATATTTTAACTGAACTATTTTGTCAAATGCTGCATCAACATCATCAAGTGTAAAAAGATCAAAGTCTTCCATATTATGACGGGACTATAATAAATAAGCACAAATGTCCTTTGTATGTATATGATTTTTTCTTATGTTATCATAAAAAAATAATTGAAATTCTTTTCATCAAAAATACCTGATACATATCATACATAAACATTTGTCCCATCTTATATACAGGAATAGTAGCATATATTGGACAATTTAATCCACATTTCCCAACTAGATATGGTAAAGCACCCAAATGCAATGGATCTGGATATGATAAGAGTACTGCATCTATTTGGTGAACATGTCTGAAATAATATTGTATTGTTTAGTTAAAATTTCCTATTGCATTTATAATTATTCAAATAATATATAATAATTTATCAACCGTTTTAATTCTTTTATAAATTCTTGATCAAAATTTTCATCCCATCCGCAATCAAGTAATATTCTTAATTCATCAACTTGCAATATATAACAAGGAGGAGATTCATCCATAGCCCCAGAAATAGCGTGAAGTTTTATTATTGACGTCATTGTCTTTGTTTTTTTTTCACTTATTAAAATATATACAAATAATAGATAATACCTAAAAATTCATTTAGTATATGCTTTTATTTCTTAATTATTATAGAACTCATTATGTATACTTCCAACGTAACCTAACATAAAGGTGTGATTAATTATAAATAGATTCATAACTTTAAAAGAATGCCAAAATATAAAAAAAAAATAACATTTATTACCGTCTAATATTAATTTAATTATTTCTAAATGTATGGAAATGTTTTAAAACAAAATATTTCAAAATATTTTCTTAAGCTTAGAAAACAATCAACAAACGGTACAATTGACTTTTGGCTAAAGTTCCGGTATTTCATAGTAAGAAAAATGAATAATTTCGTCAATGTTATATAAATTACAATGAATATTTCATAAGTATATAATTATAAATCTGTAAGTTAAAGAAAAAAGTACAGCAAAAAGTAATTAATAACTATAAACCAATGTAAAATGTATAACTTAAATAAAATCACAAGTGAAATATAAACGAGTAATTTTCTAATAATTTTGATACATCTCAAAGAAGAAAAGTCATAATATTACTCAGATTAGTATCTATGTGTGTTTTACCATAACTGTGTTTACAAATACATTCTAAGATTTATGTATACATTCTTTGTCTCTCTCTTTACCTCGTAGCATAACGGGACTTTTTTCAAGACGATTGCAGTCACGGTGTAGCTATGAGATACGTAAGTTGAGATTTAAGTTTGTTTTTTCCATAATTCAACGATTACTCGTCGAATTATATGGAAATTTTGTGTGAAATTAGGTCGCGTGTATGTAGTATGAATAAGTATAAAAGTGAAAATACGCGATAAAAATATCATGTAACGGAGTGGCGGGAGATTGCAAGTAAATAGCAGATCAGCTGATGAGTGACAACAGACAAACGAAAGCTTATTGTTCTTGGTCTTGGTTATGGCGACAAGCAGTTCCGATGGTTCTTGTACAGCACCTGCAGATTTTCAGCTTTCGTCAGAATTGGAAGACGTTTCAAATCGTTTAAGCGTGAATTTATTAAAGTGCCCACTGTGCCATAATAGTCGCCGAATTTTTCATTGTCGGCAGTGTATTCAAAATGGAGATTTTATCCATTCAACTTCTGTTTATTCTGAACGGTGAATATATTCTTATAATTTACGTATTTACTGGCCATTTATTTTTATGTATTAAAGCTTTGTTTGGCACCAAACATTCTTTAAATATTTCTAATGATGTTGAGTATAAAAATAAATTTTTATTCTCACTAAATTACGAAAAAGATTCGTTATGAAGTTTCGATGCATCAGTTTCCAAACTTTTAATTCATATGAGTAATAATTATATACGTTCAAATATTTTATTTTTAAAATATTATATTTTATTCTGATCGGTATCTGAACAGGTTTGCAGATAAACAATTGCGACTTTTACGGTTGAAAGCTGCCAGAGCTCAATTGGAAGAAAAATGTGTAAAAGCTCTTGAAAAACATAAACAAAGGGATAAATTGGTATTTTATATTTAATATTTTAAAGTCAATAATAAAAAAAATATGGATTTTTGTATACTATCATTGTATTTACTTATTCTTTGTGTTTGTAGATATGTGATATAAATACTTGTAAAGAAAGAGTTAGACTACTTCAGTCATTAGTGAATGAAACGAGGCAAAGTATAAACAGAGGTATATATAACATAATTATGTAATATTTAGGAAAGTGCTAGACTAAATGAAGTTTAATAATATGCAGGTAATCAACGTTTAAATATTCTCAAAGACGTAAACTCTCAGTTAGCACTTAGATTACCTAGACATGAAGAACGAGTAGAAAAATTACATCGTTATGTTACTGGTTTGAGAGCAAAACAAGAAAAACAAAAAGAAGCGGTAGATAGGAGAAGACAGCAGTTG